TTCCTTTTTTGTCCTGCAAAGCAAGGTACACAGAATTTGCATTTAAAACATGCATTCCCTGCTGCATGTGAGAAAGGCATATACAGGCTGGGCATGATATCCTTTTCTCACAGAAATAACAAGGGGGGTTCTATTATTATTTTCCTCAACTGCACTAAGACTTCAGTCCATAGATTTTGGAAACTGCTTGGTACCACTCAGCTCCTTTCCTCTTTAGCCATAAACCTTATGCTACTACAACTGGAGTTTCCAGCCTTGCTGATAGACCCAGTTTAAGGGGTAGAAGGAGACAAAAAGACTCCTCCTCCTCAGATAAGCCTCTTGCCTTCCTGGGTATTTCCTTCTGGGACAAAGTAAGCTCTCTGAGTGAATTGCATGAGGAAGAAGGGAGAAGGGAGAGCAAAGCAGACTGTGGCCTGCTATGTGGGGGAATATCGGCAGCTAGAAAGGAAATGGCACAGAAGTGCTTGGATACAGAGTCAAACATCCCCTCATCGATTACTCTTACAATGGCAACCAGTTACTTGGAGTTTTTGAATGGCTGTTACCCACCTCTCTATCTTCTCTCCTCTTGAAGACTGCTGTCAGCAGTGTGTAATCAGCCATGTATATATTCAAATCTAATTGCATAGTTCAGATGCAAAGCAAAGAAAAACGAGGGAGCTCTTGATTAAAAGATGGAGATTGCTTTTGTAAACAGAGGCTGAGGAAAACATCTTGCAGCTTACAATGTGTTCTAGGAGGAAAAGCAAGTTGTGACTGTGGCTGGTGCTGTGACTGGGACCAAAGAGGTCCATAGATATTGTTCAGGTGCTGTAAGTATGTGCAAGTTAAAGATTTTGACATTAGAGGACTCTATAACTTCAGTAAACTAAACCATAGCAAGACTCAGAACCTGAAATCTGTATGCTAGAGAGACACAAGCTGTAAATGCAATGCCAGTTTTTCAGGTAGAAGTATAATAAATATTAAACAAATCAGCAGGGGAAGTGATGGAATCTAGGCACACAATGGCTCTAAGTCAAGACCAGATATATTTCTGAATTATGTATTCTGTTTCTTATGCATGGCAAGTAAAATTATTGTAATGGTCCCCTCTAGCCTTAAAACATATGAACTGCTTCCTCTGGTGTAGCAACCTAATGCAGCAGACAGGAGAAGGAGTTTATTAGAGCAGCTGCTGCTGCTGCTGCTGTTTGTAAAACCACACCTTAAAGGAAAGGTGCTTGAGAGGAAATTGGTGCAGTAGGTTAATGAAAGGCAACAGTGACCAACAGAAAGGGAGGATTCATCTGTACAGTACATGATAGTGTATAACCACCGTGTGCACCAGCAGGGGCAGGAGAACCAGGACAAGCATCTGGGAAATCCCAACTGAGAGTGAAAAACCAGGATTTAGGAATGTTCTTCTATTGGTGCTGGTGGTCTGACCCTTCTGTTTTGCTTGCTATATCTGTGCAGAGACACTACCTTTCTTGATGGTAGTATCTTTCTTTTCCAGGAAAAAAATGTCAAGTGCAAATTCACATCACTGCTGCCACCATAAATTACTTATGTGCAGATTCCTAAAACTTTTCCAGATGGCTTCCTCCAATTCAAAAACTGATTGAACCTGCACAGTATACCTTTTAAGACTGAGAATCAAATCTGAAGCAATTTAGAAAAATGTGAAGTTTTTGATGACCTTTCCTCAAATCATTTTAATTTTATGATAAAGTCAGACTTGAAAATGTGACCTTTATATTTCAGAAAATAAGAAACGTCAAGATCATGCAAACAGGTATAAATACATCAGATAATATTTTCCAGCCATTTCCAGTGACCAAAAGCAAAGAAGAGCAGAAATAGTGGGAGACAGGTTTGGTAGAGATTTTTTTGAGGGATTGCCTTTTAATTCATGATGCATCATGATTTAATTTTAACAGGATACTTAGAAAAACTGTTTCCACCCCTAATCTATGGATTTGGTGTAAATTGAGCAAGCTGTATTCACTGAAGAGAATCACAGACTGCTTTTTTGCTTTCTTAGCAATTTTCATACCAAACTACTGGCTGTGTCACTGTCTTGCTCAACAGTTTCCTAAACCTAGTTGTACCAGTAGAGTGAGGTTGATTTATTACCCTTCGTTTGGCTTTTTTGAAAACTGTTAGGAAAAAGACCATTAAGTTGTTTTAGAAGATCATGTATTTTACACAGAGAGCTAATACCATCCATAACACACAAAGTTCTCCTATAAACTTATTATAGGTACCCAGTTCCCTTTATCCAAAATATTCAGCATTCTTTTATTTCAACAGTGGCTTCATTTTTTTATTTCTCATAAATTCTTTACATTTCTGCTTTTGCCTGCTCTTCCTTTCAAATCTGAAATATCCGAGCAGTTGCTTGGAGGGGAAAAAAGAAAGTATTTTTCAAGAAAAGATTCTGTTGTGCACCACACAAAAGTTTACTTGCTTCCCCACTGTTATTACCATTATTAATACCACTACTACTAATATAAGACATTTATACCCCACTGTAGCTTTTATAAACACAACTAAAAACAAATTATCTTTCCCAAACAGGCTTGCCACTGATGAGCAAAAAAAAAAACCACAGTTACAGTAACATCATAGTCCAAAGCTGGGAGGGCAAAAACAATGCATATTTATACATCTATATACATTGTTAGCACAGTGGTATATCCTTGCACAATGTGCAGCATCCTGTGCATTGCTTCCTGGAGCTGCGCTCTCCCGGTCAAGCAAAAGTCAGTGCTTTGCTGAAGTCTGCTTAGGGTTCACGCACCTTTCTGAAGCTAGTTTGGTAGATCTGCATGTCTCAGGTACACAGCTGAAACAGTGGATGAAGCATTCTGCTCCACCGGAGTTCAGCTTGTCACCTTGGATATAGAGTACAGAAACTGCTTATCAGTTTCCCAAGTGACTGGCAGTTCTTTTAGGTGTGTACTGTACTCAGTGCGCTGTAAGGCCACACCTCTCCATTTTCACTGCTCTCATTCCCTGTCTAATCACATGTGCACTGTCAAATTCTTGAGAAACCAAGTGGATAACTTGTTAATATCATGACAACTCTCTTATTTCTTTTTTGTTTTTCTTTTTTTGGGGGGTGGAAGTATTGTTGAGGCACCAGTTTTATATCTAACAATGAATAAGGCTTTTTTAGTGTTTAATCTTTGCTGCTTCTGATAACATACTTTATTCATCACAGTCCAAAAGGCATAAACTGCTGGTAATGATTTACTCTTTTCATAACAAAACATTAGTGTGAAATCCAGTATTTGAAGGTTCATCCTTGTTCTTAATACCTGTTTTTCTCCTGTTGGCTTCACTTTTGCACCCTTTGTCTTTGTGGATGAAGAAACCCAAATGTCTTAAAATTATCTTAGAAGCTTAAAGGTGGCAACCTGTGGGTCAATGGCATGTAGGGTTTTTTAAATTTGCTACAGGAGACAGCTTTCTCTAAAGGTCAAAGTTCATTACATCCCTAACTGAGTAATGTATGGAAGGGGGAGGTAAAGACTGAATTCAGCCAAATGGCAGACAATTTAATATCGTTTAGTTACACAGGTATTTCACCATCTTTTGGCAGATGTGAGGTGTTCATATATTCCCATTATATTCATTAGTGAATGTGTGTTCAAGTACATTTTCATATTTCATGCCTACATTAGATATACTAAAGAATCAGAAATAGCGCCTGGAATAATTTATGAATCTTCCATAGCAGCAGGAGAGCTGTCCTCAGAGAGGACACCAGCAGAGGAGGCTGGATGAGGGCTGCAAAGTTCTAGAGGATGAAGATCCCCTACTGCATGTGTCAGGGAAAGCATTACCGTGGTGACAGGGTCTGCCTTGAGGGAGATCTGAGACACCCCCCAAGATGCCACGGAGCTCAGCACCAGCCCCTGCAACTACATGCTGCCACTGGGGGCATGCAGCAGGCACTAATGAAAAATGGTCACTTTTAGATTTGTATGGCTCAGGTCTGAGCCATTTTAACAAAACATCATGCAAAGAAAATTAGGAAAACATATATATTCTGGTTTAAAAGTGTTTCCTAGAGGCAATTTTCCCTACATAAACCAGCAGAAGGGGAGAAATAACAAAAAAAAAAACAAGAAAATAGTCAACATGGAGAATACACATTTTCTAAATTTTCTAGTATACCTGGAATGATTGTTCAAGTGATGTAAAGCAAGCACAACTTTAAAAATGTAACATGTCCTTTAGCTAACATAGCAACATAACAGGGCAAATGAGCACCTGGCATCAGTTTTTGCAGTCCCATGTGCCTCCCTTGTGCTCAGAGGTAGCCTGGCAGTCTTGTCATCACTGTGTGTGTTGGGAGATGCAGCTTCTATGGTGGGCAGGACCTGGGAAAACTGAGAGTAGACAACAGAGGGCAAGGAGTTTTAAGAAGTATAGTAAAAGATAACATTAATTAAACTGGACAGTGATAGGAACTGAAAATTTGCAGAGGGGCAATGCCTTTCTTTTGTGTTATGGTGACCAAACTAGAAAGTTAGCCTCTTGAGATTCAAGAATATGCAAAAGCATGCTGATTTTGTGAGAAAGACCTGGATAAAATGCAGAACTTTATGACAAACCTAAATCTCTACGTTGTATATACAATTAATGGAAATTAATAGAACAATGTTTTTATAAGAAGTGTTTTAAAAAAGAAGCTTCAATAAGTGCCAAAGTAGGTATTTGCTTGCACAGAATCTCAGTTGTACATATAACGCCAGTAATTGCTTCCTTCTAATTAGACTTGTAATAGGTACCCAACCCAGTCTAGATGTTCTTCAGCAACTTCTCTGAGATGTCCGTGAGACAGATTGCAACAGCAGCTGACACAGGACTGATGGAGCAATGCACAGTGACCCTGTCTGTCATTAAATGACCAGTGTAAGGGTCAGCCTCATGTTCTGTTCACACACAATTTGAAATTCAGGCACAAATAAATCCCACCTGTCTGACTAAGCACCCACCCAACAAAGGCACCAGAGTAAGAAGTGTAATGTTAGAAGACAGTCACTTTAACTTTCTAAATAGTCAGAAAGAACCATTTCTGGAGGCTTATCTTTGAGTTGTCCTAAGCAGGTGACACTCTATTTACTATATATGTATTTGTGATGCTTAGCTTAGGCAGGTGATATGAATCTAGGCTTTGGAGGGATATAAAAGAAAGTTGGTCCACAGAGCAGAGCTGATAGGGTATGGGGAAGAAGATGCATCATACCAATAGGAGACACGCAACTTGCTAAATGCTGCTCAGTCTCTGGTGATCCAATTTAGGCTCTGTGGGGATTTGTTTCTTGGATTTAGGGGTGTGAGAAACCTCCATCATCTGTTCTTCAGCAGAGTGTTTGCAGGGCCTAGAAAGGGTGGCAGTTTCACATCTTCTGGTACAGTATTCAAATGTACCTGTGTCAGGAGAATAAGTTAAAAGAATGATTCACATAATTAAGGAATCTGACTTCACGGATCTCTATTCAAGCCTTCTGTAGAGGCACTTCTTGCTCTCTTTGATTACACAAATTAGGGAAACTCATTTCACCTACAGAAGCAGATGTCCCCTCATGGGACTTCTTCCAAAGTTCAGCAGACTCAAAAACACCCTCTCCTGTTAATTCAGTAATCTCTGGGTCAGTCACTTCCCAGAGATGAAAGACAAAATCCAGAACAACTGGAGAGATAAAACAAGCTGATCTTTATTTCCAGCAATGCTCCATGTTCATTCTTAATGGTGCATAATGACTGTTATTTACAGGGAAGGCTGACTCTTGATTAAAAGAGAAGTTCAGTAGTCATTCTTAGAAGGTATGCACTTTATTTTGTTGTGTAAGTCCCTGTTGTTTAGTAGGATGCCAGTGAATGACCTGGAGAAGGTGACTAATGAACAGCTACTTGCTGCTTCTCATAACAGAGTGCATTCAGTAAAATAATTAACCCTCATGTTTAAAACAACTGAAGAACTGAAGGAAGAATTTTTCACATTGCACGTAACTAAATCTGGGGAAGTCATTGCCAGAGGATGTTTTGGTGGTATAAAAGTGTTAAAACAAATTAATGGAAGAAAGGTGCGTCAAATACTGTTAGGCATAGCCGTATGGATGCAATTTCCAGCTCATGAAATTCCTAACCACCAATAACCGTTTCCTGTGAGTTCCTTTCTGAACTTGGCTATTACACTAAGCAGCTGCTATTGGCCGCTCAAATACAAGCTGTTAGTGTAGAGGGAATTTTGGTCTGATGTCTATATGGCCAGTGATGTTATACATTCTTATGTCATTATCTCCACTTAATGTTTTTATGAAGACATGAGTCCTCACAGATTCAGTATCCAAGCACAGAATATGCAAAGATCCTCAGCCAGATATAATGTTTTATAGGCTTTTTCTGAAACATAAAACCAGTTCAGATGCCTACCTTACTAGGGCTCACATATAAAACCAGACAATAGTAATGCCATTGCATTAAAGAAGATGATATATAAGCTATGTATGTAAAATGCAAAACGCAAGTATCACATTATGAAAACACTAAAACATATACTTCAGGTTCAAGCTTGGGCATTGGCTTTTCCCAAATAAATAGAAATATGACATCTTGAGATTAATTTTTTTTTTTTTTTTGTTGTGGCTTGGAAATTTGTGATCATTTCAAAAAAGCTAGTTGCTGAAATTGAAAGAACAGGGGTCACTGCTTAGGAATTCAGTATTTTCTATTAGCACAGGGTATTGAAATACCATGGTTCTCCCTTTCCAACAGAAAAAAAAAAATCTTAATTTTACTCAGTGTTTTCTATGTTTAATTAGTAATTTTTAATAAAGCACTGTATTAGAGAGATTTTTTTTTTTCTTTACTAGTTAGTGTTACCGGTAGTGATATTTTCATTATGATTGCTGAACTAGATGAATCCCACTTTCTCATTCTCTGCACTCAGATGCAGGCTACACCACAAAGACCTACTCTGAAAAAAGAAAAAGACATGGGTATCCATGCACCAAAATAATTTGGAGGGGCATAATTTGAAGTCATTATCAATATAGTGATGACTAAGACAGCAAAAACATCCAAGCAAATGGCTACTTCTTCAGGGACCCAGTTCATACTTGAATAAGGCTGAATTCAGAATGTCTTTGTACTATTAGTCATGCAATTCACACATCAATCACTGCCTGAGCAGGCAGAATAGACAAGAAACTGCATGCCCTGCTTGTGGCTCACATACCTGTCCTATACAGTCAACTGAAAAGAAGCAATCACACTCGCTATAGTGTCTTGACAGCTGGTTTGTTAGTGCTATGGAAGGTAAATGCTCCCTGAGCCTCAGCAAAGGCAGCAGATGAAGACTGCTGACCATGGCCTGCAGCAGCATATACAAATACCTGGTCATTGCTATCTAAAATCTATGTTGAGATTTCTGTAATCATTTTCAAACATACTCTATTAATTAGAGTACAGGTGCTAAAGGCTAAAAGGAAAGGCACTGTTTTCCTTTCTCTCATCCATCCTTCCTTTCTTCCCAGGAAGATGAGGTAGTTAAGGGATTAACTCTCCTCCCACCACATGTGAAGGCATTGCCAGGAGCATCTGCACAGCAGAGCTCCTGCTACCTCTCCTCTAGCTCCACTGCAGGCCTGTCTGTCTGTCTCTCACCTGACTTGAAGGCAGAAACACATGGCCAGAGTTGTACATCTTGTGGATCTCCCTGGGAGACTGGGAGGAAGAGATGCTCTCAAATATGCTAGAAATAGAGGTGGGACAGGGCACCATACCAGATAGCCTTATCAGGTATTTCATTGCTAATTAAAACCAGAAACAAGTGAGTGTGTACATATGAAGCGCATGCTGTTCTAAGATATGTCTGATGCTAGCCAATAAAGACAGGAAAAGCTCATTAAATTGCCCTGCCTTTTAAAAACCACAGTCAAAAAACTTTAAGATGTCTCCTCTTAGCTGCTATTCAGAGTTAGGCAAAGCATGACAGGGCCACTGCAGGTGCCTGGCTTCAGTGCCACTCCTAGCACACAGCTCTCCTCAGACCCACTGTCTTCACCAGTTCTTGCCTTCAGCACCCTCTTGTCTACCCATCCTGCTCAACAGCTTTTGGGGGAAGGACCCAGGTGCAGAACTTGAGCAGGCTGTCTGAGGTAACACAGTTATCCAGATAACCAGGACTTTGCTTGAGCCAAGATAGGAATGTGACTTTCAATCACATTCTCTTAGGAAAAGTGGAAAAAAACTGAAAGTAGAACTGGGATGGCAGCATGATGCTTCAGGGGCTTACTTGCCTTTGGGTACTGAAAGCTGTAAGACTGGATAATATTATAACATTGCACAGGGTTTTGACTCTGTGGATGTTTTAGTACAACATATTTAAATAGAGATGGTGAGGTTGCTTGTGTGAGTTTCGACATACATTCCTGGCTCATCTGGGGTTGATATATTTATCTAAGTATCTTGTCATGAATGTTGAGCTTTTCAAGCTTATACAATGACCTTATCCTTGCTGTTTACTTCTCCAGTTCTTAAGTGGTATGTGTTCTTACATGCTCTCAACCTGTGAGATCAGAACTTCTGCAGCATGCGTGAGGTAACACCACCATTCAGAAAATGGCTTATTTTGAGGTAAGATGGTTATTTTTAGCTGCAACTGATATCAAAAACCAAACACACATACCTTTGCATCTTACTACCCACATATGAAATGGCAGTATAGATTTTTCTTTTTAGAAGAGAGAACAAAGAGTAAAATTGAACCAAGTACCCCATATTTTAGCAGCACTGAAAGTCAATGAAATTATTCCTAAACCCAGGAAAAAATCTCCTTATCATGTGCAAAGGGTTAGCAAGACAGATGAGGGAGACACACTAGAACAGTGAAGAAGGACTCCAAACACAGTTTCATAACTTTGTTCTTTATGCCTAGGCATGTTTCTGGTCTTCTACTTGCTTATCTGAAGTCAAACCTGTTGAAAGTGATACCTAGCTTTGCACCATCTAAAGCAAATTCACCTTTAAATCATGTAAGCATAGGGGTTCATGCTTCAGGTTGTCAAGCTAAGATTTTCTGGTGGTTTGGGGTTTTTTAGTGGCTGTTGAAGTTAGAGTCTTAAAATCATGTTCTTTTGAAGTGATGCTGTGATGCTGTTACCCAACTCAGTTTTCTAACTAGCAGGCCTGATTTTAGCAGCACTAATCTGGTGATGCTTGACATGTTTGAAAGTCATGCCACTTAGATGCTCAGATATGACTTTAGAAGCCTGTTACTTGGTAAGAGCTTTTAGAAATGCTGCTTGAAGTTGAGCCTCCACCTGACATGGAATTGGACCTGGGTAGCTCCAGATTACACCTATAGCTCTGACACCTTTATTTTCTTGCTTCTTTGGGTTTTTTTCCTCCCTGAAGTCTAGGATTCTAATTGTTCTTTTTCCCAGCACAGAGGTTCTCTTCTTTGTAAGCAGGACAGCTACCAGATGGGTTTAAACCACAACACTGGGGTATTTCTGAAAACCAAACATTGAAGGCATCAATCAGTAGTAAAAACCCAGAAAAGGAAATCAAGGTGGTCATCTTCCTATCTTTAATGGAATAACTTGTGGAGCTGGCAATGCATATGAAACTTGCCACTGAGCAAAGACCCCTTTGATCTTAACTGCTCCTGACTTGCTGCTGCTTTCTTGATTCTGTTTGATTTCTATTATGCCACCTTCAGTTATTTCTCTCTAGACACTAAAGATAGTCTAAGTAAACTCAATGAGAGAAAAAATCTGCTTATCCTATTTTCTCTAAGAGGTACAGTGGCAGATAGGGAGGAAGCTTGTGATTGTTCAGTAGTAAGTAAGTGCATCTAAACACATACCCACAGACATGTTAGCTCCTCACAGGTCTTCCACCCTTGCCCATAATGAACCAACCATTTTCTCTTGAAGTTCTGAGGGCAAGATTAATTCTGACTCCTGAATTAACTCTTCCTCAGGAGAAAATATTGGATAAGAGAGGATAACTTTGGGATTTGAAAGAAATGGGGAGGGCTATGTACCTCTAAGACTTTCTTGGCTTTCCACCATGATACTTGAATACCTATGAAGGACCCACTGTAGGAGAGGATCTGGTTCAAGACCATCTTAAGAACCTGAATGTGCACAAGTCCATGGGACCTGATGAAATCCATCCGCGGATCCTGAAGGAGCTGGTAAATGAAGTTGCGAAGCCACTGGCCATCATATTTGAGAAATCATGGCAGTCAGGTGAAGTTCCCAATGACTGGAAAAAGGGAAATATAACCCCCATTTTCAAGAAGGGGAAAATGGATGACCCAGGGAATTACAGACCAGTCAGTGTCACCTCTGTGCCTGGCAAAATCTTGGAGCAGATTCTCCTGGAAGGCATGCTAAGGCACATGAAACACAACAAGGTGCTTGGTGACGGCCAGCATGGCTTCACTAAGGGGAAATCCTGCCTGACCAATCTGGTGGCCTTCTATGATGGGGCTACAGAACTGATGGACAGGGGTAGAGCAGCTGATGTCATCTACCTGGACTTGTGTAAAGCATTCGACACTGTCCCACACGACATCCTTGTCTCTAAATTGGAGAGACATCAATTTGATGGATGGACCACTCAGTGGATAAAGAACTGGCTGGATGGCCGCACACAAAGAGTTGTGGTCAATGGCTCAATGTCCGGCTGGAGACCAGTAATGAGTGGTGCCCCTCAGGGATCGGTGTTGGGACCGGTCTTGTTCAACATCTTTGTCACTGACATGGACAGTGGGATTGAGTGCGCCCTCAGCAAGTTTGCCAATAACACCAAGCTGCGTGGTTTGGTTGATACGCTGGAGGGAAGGAATGCCATCCAGAGGGACCTTGACACACTTGTGAGGTGGGCTGATGCCAACCTTATAAAGTTTGACCATGTCAAGTGCAAGGTCCTACACCTGGGTCGGAGCAATCCCAGGCACAGCTACAGGTTGGGCAGAGAAGAGATTCAGAGCAGCCCTGCGGAGAAGGACTTGGGGGTGTTGGTTGATGAGAAAATGAACATGAGCTGGCTGCAGTGTGTACTTGCAGCCCAGAAAGCCAACCGTATCCTGGGCTGCATCAAAAGGAGCGTGACCAGCAGGTCGAAGGAGGTGATCCTGCCCCTCTACTCTGCTCTCGTGAGACCTCACTTGGAGTATTGTGTGCAGTTCTGGGGTCCTCAACATAAAAAGGACATGGAACTGTTGGAACAAGTCCAGAGAAGGGCCATGAGGATGATCAGGAGACTGGAGCACCTCCCATATGAAGACAGGCTGAGGAAGTTGGGCCTGTTCAGCCTGGAGAAGAGAAGGCTGCGCGGAGACCTCATAGCAGCCTTCCAGTATCTGAAGGGGGCCTATAGGGATGCTGGAGAGGGACTCTTCATTAGGGACTGTAGTGATAGGACAAGGGGTAATGGGTTCAAACTTAAAGAGGGGAAGTTTAGATTGGATATAAGGAGGAAATTCTTTCCTGTTAGGGTGGTGAGGCACTGGAATAGGTTGCCCAGGAAGGTTGTGAATGCTCCATCCCTGGTAGTGTTCAAGACCAGGTTGGATGAGGCCTTGGGTGATATGATTTAGCATAAGGTGTCCCTGCCCACGGCAGGGGGGTTGGAACTATATGATCTTAAGGTCCTTTCCAACCCTAACGATTCTATGATTCTATGACTTCAAGTCACCTGATATGTTCTATGATATCACCTCCCAGCTGCTGCCAGAATAGGGATGTGCCAGTGAATCTTTTATTTTATACCAGAAGTGTGTGCTTTGTGGCTGCAGACCTGCCTCAGACAGAAAAGGCAAGAAAGTGTCATGGTTTGCTCATGGGCCTTGGAGAGTTCCTGTGCCATGCAGCCAGGCCCAGGAGCTGGGAAGTATTTGTATGATTATCATAGTAGAGAGACAGCAAAAACATTAATACTGACTTTCAATGATAGGACATTCAGAGGGAGTCATGGCAGTAACTCATGAAGGCAATATCAACCTGTTCATCAGCTTAAACCCTGCTGCAGACCCTACAGTTCATGAATTTGGCTTCACCAGATTAGACTCACTAGTTGTCATTATAAATAAAAGAAAAATTGTACCCCATATTGGGAGAATAAGAAGGCAGCCAGGAGATGCTAACTGCTTGAAAAAGTAGCGGGTGACTGTTACCAAGGGCACTTATAAATCTTAACATTTTTCTATTGCTGTTGACTCCAGAGGTTGGACAGAGAAGGCAGGTATCATCTCAGAGTGAGCAATTTCATGACTGCATTGCTCTAATCATTCTTATTACTCCATACTTTATTTTTCTTATTTGCCTTCTATTCCTTACATCATGTTTAATTTTTCTAGTTTTGTTGCAAGTCTTTCTTATTATGTTCCTAGGTTTGCCTCACACATCATCAGCAACTCAAAAATGATATTATTATCGTTATTATTATCAACAGTTACTAACAATAGCAGCAAGTTGAAAAAACTAAGCTGCAAAAATCATCTATTCTGAGGAAACCAAAAAAATTAACATGATCTTGCCTATATCAAATTTTAACATTCTATTTCATAATCAAACAGATGGGATAATAATATCATGGAATCATAGAATGGCTTGGGTTGGAAGGGACCTTAAAGATCATCTAGTTCCAAACCCCTGCCATAGGCAGGGACACCTTCCACTAGACCAAGTTGCTCAAAGCCTCATCCACCCTGGCCTTGAACACTGCCGGGGATGGGGCAGCCACAACTTCTCTGGGAAACCTGTGCCAGTGCCTCACCACCATCACAGTGAAGAATCTAAATCATTAGTGTATCTAAATAATAAGTAATATCTAAATCTACCCTCTTCCAGTTTAAAGCCTCTTATCCCACCACTCATAAGAAGTCCATCTCCAGATTTCTTGTAGGTCCTCTTTAGCTATTGGAAGACAGCTATGTGGTCTCCCCTGAGCCTTATCTTCTCCAATCTGAACAAGCAAAACTCTCTCAGCCTGTCTTCATAGGAGAGGTACTCCAGCCCTGAAGCAGAGAGGGAGAATCACCTTCTTTGACCTCCTGGTCATGCTCCTTTTGATGTAGCTTGGGATACAGTTGGTTTTCTGGGCTGTAAGATAAATCAGAGATGAGTGCATTGCCATATGCCACTTGTAAGATATCTTAAAGTGCAGCAGGTGAGACAGTCATGTCCGTGCTTTGCTGAGTTATTCCTGACAAGTCACTTCATCTTGCTCAGCCTTATGTTTCTCAAACTAAAATAGAATGAATGGTGCTGACTTCATCATCCACTGCATTGGTAGACCTAATGGTATTTACTATTTGCCTTTTCTTGCTAGTACAGAAACTCTTTTTTTAGCCTTCCATGTAGGTCTGAATATAGCATTGGTAAAATAATTTAAATCTAGGTTCCTGGGTGCTTGCCAGAAAGCAGATTGTTTAGGAAAGTCTTAGACTGGCTTCCTGTTTCAGAATGGAGGTGTGTATTAACTTAGGAATTACAGATCCTCCAGGTGACTGCTGGGGAACATGCTTCCTTTAATCAAAAAGATAAAGCTAGAGCAGAAAATTTTAATTATTTAAGTTGTTGGGCTTTTTCATTTCCCACACAGGAGACTTTCACTCAAGGCTAAGTCTGAGACTGCACTGTTAGGGGGTGTGTTTGTGATTATCTCCTGTAGATGCAAGCCCTTGCTACCACCCAAAGGGGCTGTCCTACCCATCCTCTGCCCTGGCTTGGCACCTTGAGCTCTGCCTCTCTGCTATCAGCTGCTCTGGACATTTAGCATCTTTAAAAAATGCAGGGAAATCTGAAAATTATATGCAGCCTTTCACACAATCAAGTATATGCATGTTCTTTGCAGCTGTGGGTAATATAAAATTGTATAAAAATGTGTGCTTAGTTAAGAAAGAAAAACTGTGAAAATATTTAACATGAAATTCCAGGAAAAAAAAAATCAGAATGAAAACTCCTCCCCCCCCAAAAAAAAAACACAAAAAACCTGAAGCGAAGCAAAGAAAAAAAAAGTTACACTGAAAAATTAATTATTAATTATTACTAAAAAAGAACTTCATAAGATGTGACTGATAATATGAAAATTAATAACTAAAGGGAATACATTAGAAGTGATAGATCCTTTGACTTAAAAAATCAATTAAGACATCCACATTAGCCTGCTCCATAACAGTGTAATACAATCATGATGACTTTAAGTTCTGGGTTTATCATCCCAGACTGCGCCATGCTTACTTTTAAAGGAACATGTAGTTTATTTCATGTGTTTTCGCCTTACGGTACAACTCTTGAGTTAAGGTTGTGAGCTTTAACCTACAAGAATGTTAACGTTAACCATGTATGAATATACATGCAACATACATCTGATTGAGATACATGGTCTAACACCCCATTTCCATGAGTCCTTTAGCATTCCCACTTGGTAACCTCATCACTCATTCTGAAGGGAAGGTGCCTTGGCAGTTTGCTCTTGCTCTCAAGGATTAGCTCTCTTTGAGCAAGGCTTTTCAACAGCCTCCATAATGAAGCAAGTGCTGGAGATGGATTTATGCAAGTAGGAATTTCTTACCCACAACTCAGTTATCTCTTCATCATCACTGAGGACCTCCTCCTTCACCTGTGGCACAAAGAAACTACATAGAATTTCTTTTTGTAGTCATATCACACTATAGAATGATACTGATTCTTCAACCTGTAGGAAGAACAAGCTTATGGGTAACTTCAGATGGTATTGATTTCATTTTCATGCATTTTGCAAATGACAGATGATGTGCTGGTCAGTTTTGTTTACTGAAGAACACTAACTTAGAGGTGCGATTAACAATGACAGAGTATTGCCATAAATTCTGTCAAGTGAAAAATTTTATCATGTTTTGCCATCTAGATGAGACACAAAAGTTGTACTTAACCCTCTAAACATTAAGATAATTACTGTTGAAACTAAGTACACAGAGCAGAATTGTATTATTATTACTGCTTCTATATGTTAGAACAGATATATATCTTACACCACTAACTTTTCTGCATATCTCCCTATCACTCGATATCTTACAGGTACTGAGAAAAAAAGCAACCTTTGTGTCTATGAGACCTGGCCACTTTATAGAAGGGCTTCCCTAGCACATTACTTAAATTGTTCTCAGAAATCAAAATATGAAGAGTACCAAAATTTTATCACAATACACAAATATCCCTAGCTTTTCTGTAATTAAGGTATTTATTATTGCTTCATTGTGTCATTCTTTGTGATTTCCTGGTCTTTTTTACTGGGTCCTGTGACACTCGTTTTTGCTCCTGTATATTGTGCACCATGGGGTGTATTTAAAAATAATACGTCTCCAATGTCTTTGGGTATAAAAATAATATGGGCAGGAAGTAAAGCAGCCTTTCTGAGTGTGGTGCAGATTTGTTTATTTGAAATTCAGAAAGGCACTGAAAAGGAACTGACCAGTGAAGACAGAAACTGACCCTCATGTGGGGAACTTGCTTGTCCAGAGACTGACCAGGGGCAAAAGAACCCCCACTCCAAGCCACACAACAGTCATACAGGGGCCTATGTCAAAAGGGGTGCAGGACCAAACTCCTTCCTGTGAGGTGCCCAGAAAGTTGGCTGAAGTGTGCGTATATATGTATATATATTGTGTGAAAGTAGGCTGCATCAAATATGGATGAAGCAGGTTTGAGCTTGGACTGATGATGGAGGCTTAAGAACTTACACCTCATTTCAAAAATTGACTCAAGAACAGTGTTTTAAAAGTAATGAGACCACTGCAACAGGAAAGGGGTGATTTCTGAAGCACTCAAGTATGGTGGTTACCTCATGCAAATGGAAGTCACTAGGAACTGGACTCAGCTGGCTTTGCAATATCAGTAGGTGACTGCTTTAGCCTTTCCACGAAAATGAAATTTTGATGAACTGCCTCATATGCAATCATATTTTGAATTGTACAACTCTTTTTTCAATGATGCTTTCCTCTGCTGCCCTGTAAGGTGCTAACAGGAGTAAAACAAAAAAACACAAAAATCTTAATACAAAATGTAATGGAGAAAAAAGCTCCAAGAGCACAGAATTACTATTAGGTAGATGCCTCTAATTCTGTCTTATTAACTCCAGTATTCCCAAAGGGTAATAGCCAGTGGTTTAGGATTTCCTCTTCGAGCTAGATCAAACTACTGTATCTTTTCCACTCATTTTTGTTTAGACTATTTTTTAATTATTAATATGAAAATAATATTTTTGAAAGTTTGAATATTTGTTTTGAAATCCCATTTGAAATTGTTCTTATTTATCTTTTCTGAAGAGTCCACGTGCACTCTTCTTCCTAATGAGGTATGGCACAGAGGGATATATTGTCACAGCTGTAGCTTTTGGTTTAACTTTTGCTGGGACTATTATTGTTGTTTATGGCATTTTATAATCTTCTGTAGATCAAACTATCTTCTGTTATAAAAAAAATAGAACAAAACTGACTTTTGGTCTGTTAAAGAACATGAATACTTTATATTTGCAAGAAATAACTCCTATCCAGTGATCAAAATGGAAATTCAGAACTGAGAGCAGTTTTGAGTGATACACATTTTCACCCTTTATTGGTTTCTTATCAAGGCTCTTATATAGGATTCACATGAAGTGATTTCTCAATAACCTAAATAAGTTTTATCAAGCTTCTTTCAAGGGTACTCCAAAAATAGTTTACTGACAAAACTCTTTGAAGCTCTGTAGAGATGTTTAAAAACTCACTCTGAAGCCTATTTGCTCTTATCCTATGTATTTCCACTGCATAGAAAGTATAGTACTAACTCTGAAATGCCAGAATAATGACCCACTTCAACCGCTGACTATTGCATTAGTAATATGGATATTTTACATAGTGCAATAATGGTATCAGTATGGTATGCAACATTAAAAAACACACAAAAATTACTATTGGCATCTTCTGGAAAATTTGATTAAAGTTCTGAAATAAGGTACTTTGGTTCATAAAAGAACATGGAGATTTTATATGCACAACTTTATTTTTCCTTAATCCAAAAGCAAATTTCAGATTGTTGACAATTTCCCAGAAAAGGGAAAATCTAGATGTGATCCATTTAACATTGCCTGACCCAGTTTGCCTCACTGACTCATTGATGGGCACGTTGACCTCAGTACCAAAATCTGAGTGACAGCAGGGACGTGCACAACTGGCTTTGGCAACCCCAGCCAGCTGCAAGGCAGCACATCATCCTTGCTATGAGGTGTGTGGCATGCTGCAAAGCTGCTTATGTAGCAGGAGCATGGGGCCTCATCCCAGGAGGTGCTGAGTTACCCTAGAGGTGCTGAGACCTCTTTTCCCAGCTCAAGTTCCATCCTGGCAGACACCCAGCACCGTGGTGGGCTTGGCAGGCTCAGAAGCACACCAGTCATTTTGCACTTTCAGGGATGAAGCATACACCTTTCTCCTGGGTTCCGTGGCAGAGCAAAAGCTCACTCTACCTTTTTCTTGCCCATTAAGGGCAGTTCAGTTGTCCCAAGAACACAAGGAGGGGCTTACAAAGCCTAAGCTGCAGGATGGAGGGACCTGCTGCTGAGCAAAGTGAAGAATCCTCTTTGATTTCTCCATCTCTCACATGTCTGTGCTCGTGCCATTCAAAATGAGGCCAAAAGTGAGCTGTGCAGCACATCCTCCTTTTCCTCCACTACATGTTGTTTTGAGCAGCTCCCCAGTTTTTCTGGCACGGGACATGTGTACATCTCTCCCTCCACCATGTCAGCGAGAGCACAACCCATAGGAAGGGAAAGGTACGGCATGAGGAAGCTCTGCAGTTGGTGAAAGCAGAAAATCTCCTCCCTCTGCTTCAGATATTCTCGTAGCCTTAATGAATAAACTACCGTATTTTTCCCCAAGTTAATGTGTTACCTCTTTAATGACAACCCCATTCTGCTCTGAGTGCTGCCCTTCTGTGAACAATGTGCATGGAACTGAGTTCTTCACACCTGGAAGTAAACAAATCGACATATTTTAATGAAAACTAATCATTTCTTGAAGTCCATATTCTTTATGGTAATATTCATTAAGCTCTTTTATTATACTTAGTGCAAGGAGAAAACTGGTAATTGCATTGAAAGAAATGATAAGTTACCATTTTAATGATTCCTTATGTTGTGAGTAATTCATAAATCACTCAGTATCTTCTCAGCGAAGCTTGCCTTCTGTTTTTAAAACGTACCCTTTCGTATCCAACAAAGGGTTTCAGTGCAATGAGAATTAAGGTGTGTCTCTTAGCTTTTACCTGCAGCAATAATGATGTTGTCAAGCGTTTCAGGTGAGACCAGCCCAGGATTTTGGGGTGGGGAAAGACACTCTGTTATACAGCATCTTCAGTGCTTCCCTCAGAGGGAGGCAGAGACACCTTGAAGGGCTGAGTATAAGGACATCTACCGAGTGTCTTTTTAAGTAGACACCAGAGGTTGGGGGGGGGAGGGGAAAAGGAACAGGCTTGCAACCATAACTCAGTTGGACTTGTATCCGAGAAGTCAGATGCCATGGACTGGCTCCCTCACCGAATGGCTGCTTTTCTGTTCCTTTTATTGGTAAGTCAGATTTTAAAACAAAATTTGTAAACTCTGTGATTATGTCAGTTGAGTCTTCCTCAGCAGACCATGACATTTGACAGTGTAAACTACCCCCAAAAACACTTGTGAATTTTAGCAGAAAAAAAACAAGCTGTGCTTATTTTAAACTGCATTTCTGAAAATTCCATACAGTAATTTAGGTTTTCTTTGCATGCTGACAAATGTTTCTTTTGACTTTGACTTTTTGCAGTCCGTTGATGTGTAATTTGTGACTTTCTATGTTTAATACATGACTTTTTAGGTCAATGTTGTCCTGGGTACTATTTAAAGTGTTACTGTTATTAATAAAATTATTATAATTATAAAAATCCTAATAACTTGACTGGATATTATTTAGTTCTATGTCTATTTTTTTTTTAAGTTGAGTGAATATGGAAAGCAAATCTCATTTCTATGGATTAGCAAGAGGGCTTCAGAGCTGACCATGTAGTACAGCTGTATTCAACAGAAAAATATGAAATGTAGCAAAGACCTTAGCTGAGTAAAAAAAAAACCAAAGACTTGGCCTATTATTTCACATTGCAAAGAGTTTCTGCCTTGTGGTGCATTAGCGTCCGAGCCGCCATGTGCTGAGCAAGTGAATGAATGACGGAATTATTGTTCTTTGGGCTTGTTTTTCCCACTGTAGAAGGAAAGTTGTGGCTATGGTCAAGCAGCATGGCTGTAGAATGTGTTCATCAAGGCACAGAAATTACCCAGAAAGGACTTAAAAGACTTATGGAGGCACTTTTGCTCCTGCAATCTGATTTTTGTTTAGATTATTTTTACTTGTCCATTTTGATCTTCTGAAATTAGGTAGAGGTTTAAGGCCCTGAAAATTGAAAAGAGTAGGATTTCTGTTATGTTCTTCTGTGGCTTTGACACAATTTTACATTTTGCACAATGTATTAGTAAGGGTAAAAGTTTGATAACTTCTCATTACTGACACCTCTAGAAATGTTGTAGTCAGGGAAAAGGTATTTATTGTTATAGAATATGAAATACTTACTTTGAAAAGGTAGTCAAATAACTTTAGG